TAGCAACAAAAATGGCAGGTATTGGTATAAAAATGGACATATAGACAAATTAAACAGAAGAAAAACCCAGAAGTAAAGCCACATATTTATAGCCAGCAGATCACTGACAAAGGCAACAAGAACTTAGAATGGGGAATGGACACCCTTTCAACAGTCTGTGCTGGGAAAACTGGATATCCACATGGAGAAGAATGAAACTGAAGGTCTATCTCTCACCATATGCAAAAATCAACTCAAGATATAGTAAAGATTGAAATGTAAGACCAGAAACTATAAACATACTAGAAGAAAATCTAGGGAAAACGCCACTGGATAATTCCTTAGCCATGTAAAAACCTTTTAATTTAATCAAATCCCATTTTTTTTGTTGTTGTTGTTGCTGTGATTCCACTGAGGTTGTCTTTGCCTAGGCTGATATCTACGAGTTTTCCCAACATTTTCTTCTAGAGATGTTATGGTTTCATGACTTACTTTTAAGTCTTTTATCCATCTTGAATTAATTTTTGTGATGGTGAGAAATATGGATCCTAGTATAATTCTTCTGCCTGTGGCTATCTAATTTTCTCAGCACCCTTTATTGAATGGGACTTCTTTTCTCCAGTGCATATTGTTGTCTGCTTTGTCAAGATCAGGTGGCTGTATGTATATGGTTCTACATCCAGGTGCTCTGTTCTATTCCATCGGTCTATGTCTCTATTTTTTGTACTAATGCCATGCTGTTTTGGTTACTAAAGCCTTGTAGTATATTTTGAAGTCTGGTAATGCAGTACCTTCAGATTCGTTCATTTTGTTTAAGACTGCTTTGTCTTTTCAGGCTTTTTTCTGGTTCCATATGAAGCACAGAATTTTTTTCTAGGTCTGTAAAATAAGACATTGGTATTTTGAAGAGGACTGCAGTGAATCTATAAGTCACTTTGGGTCATAGAAACATTTTAACAAGGTTGATTCTACTGATCTATGGACATGACGTTTCTCTATTTGTTTATTTTGTCTGAGATTTCTTTCCTCAATGTTTTATACTTTTCTTTGCAGGGATCTTTCACCTGCTTGGTTAAGTATGTTCCTAGGTATTTTATTTTCTTTCTAACTATTATGAATGGTATTGCATCTTTAATTTGACTCTTAACTGGACTGTCACCGGTGTTTAGAATGCTATTGGTTTGTGTATATTGATTTTGTAACCTAAAACTCTGCTGATTTTATTTATCAATTCCAGGAGTCTTGTGGTAGAGTTGTTAGAGTTTTCTAACTAAAGATCATACCATTAGCAAACTATCACTATAGTTTGACCTCCTCTTTCCCAATATGAATACTCTTCATTTTTTTCTCATGTCTGACTATTTTCGCCTGAACTTACAGCTCTATGTTCAATACAAACGGTAACAGTGGAAATACTTGTCTTGTTTCAGTTCTTAGTGGGAATACTCTCAACTTTTCCCTATTCTGTATGCTATTGGCTGTGAGTCTGTCATATATAGCTTTTATATTCTTGAGATATGTTCATTCCTTCTATATCTAATTTGTTGAGTTTTTTTTTTTTTTTAATCATGAAAGGATGCTGTTGAATGGTTTTTCTGGAACTATTGAGATGATCATATGGTCTTAGTTTTTACTTCTGTTTATCTGGTGAATCACATTCATACATATGTTGAACCATCCTTATATTCCTGGGATGAAGCCCACCTCATCATGTTACCTTTGAACAGATTTCATTGATTAATCCTAAATATAGACCAACTCTCTTCTTTTTACAAAAGTAGCTCTCAAAGGTGGTCTGAGGACCTCTGGAAGTCATAAAGACCTTTTCAG